TGGGCATAGTAAGGAATGTATTGATTCATATAATTGGTAAGTCCAGGGATAGATTAGCTTGTCTCTGACTGCATCCAGCTGGTTAAGTAATTATTCAGGAGTGTCTCTCCGCCCTTCTCTTTCTGTTCCTTTCTTGCTGATTGGCTGAATTCTCAGGCAGACTTTTTCCACGTGGGAGCTAGACTTAAAAGCCTCAAGTTTATATCATGGTCCGTGTCTGTGATCTGAGGAGAAGACGGTGCCACTTTCAAAACATCAAGCAAAAATCACCAGAGTGTCTGTCATGTGTTTTTGCATTAAAAAATTGCTTTGGTCAGAGAGAATACTACTACCGTGAGATAAGAAACGGACCACTTCTGAAGAGAGACCCAGCCCCAACAGCTTCCATGGGCTGGCTGTGAGGAGTCTGATGTCAGTAAGATTGAAGGGCAGTGCCAGAAAAAAGATGTTTATTCCAACAGCGATCAAGGAATTGTAAATTGAAACTATGGTGGCATAGCGCTTACACATTCAGATTGGAAAAAACTACAAAGTCTGAAAACACTGAGTGTTTGGAAAGATGAGGGGGCTACAGGAACACTCATGCTCTCTGGTGGGAACAGTATGCAGGCGTAGGAGTGGTATACATGGGCGAGGGAGAGAAAGTTAAGGCACGAAAGTACAAATGATAAAAAGAAATGGAATTCATTTCAGTTAACAAACAAACTTGGACTGCAGAACTAGTTTGCACTGGCATAGACATGGGATGGAAGCCTCAGGTTGGGACAGGGTGGAGAAGGGAGCCTCAGAGTTCCTGCATCTCCCTTACCCGAAGAGTGGCTCTTCCTGCACTTTGAAAGCATAAGTCGGTGTGTGTGTGTGTGTGTGTGTGTGTGTGTGTGTGTGTGTGTGTGTGTGTGTGAGGGCACATCTGTGAGCTTTGGGGGGGATGAGGAAAAATGGACCTCTGGCAGGACCCTATGAGAACTGCAAATTCCAGACAGGCCCTGCAGCCTGGCCCTGCCCACCTCTCCCTCACTCTGCTCCCCTAGTACGATCCCCTAGTACGGACAGCATGTACGTCCCATGTGACCTCTCCATGGCTCACACAGTGCGACATGAAGCACAGCGCTTATATTTCATAAAAGCACCTATTTTTGTTGTTTCAAACTTTGTTTTGTCTGTTGGCCCATGATAATCCTAAACCCGAAATTTCAAGACATGGGATTTAGTTGAGTGTATTGAATTTTGTTTTTGTTTTTCTCATGGGAATTTCTAATCATTTAATAATACTCTTTGTCAAGACCTGGAAAGTACTGGCAGATACAAAATTGGAGTTATACACACAACAAAATACAACAGGATATGCTTAAGGAAAACACACTAGGGATAATCAGACATACTCATTGTGATCTTTGCCTTGTTTTCTGTACATCAGAACTAAATTATTCCAAAAGGCTTGTGGTAATATATTGTTTTTAGCTCCTTTGGAGATTTTTATTAAAGAAAACTTTCCAGTCTGTGTGTTTGACTGATTTAATGTATATAGAAAATGCAGGCAGTGGGTATACTATTAGAGCCACTTTCCTTGTCCTCAAAACATGCCTCCGGCTGCTGAGTGTGATCTATAGAAGTGTGGGCAGTTTGAAAAGGGCAATGGGGCAGCCTCTGAGAACGAGCAATTATTTAGTTATTATTGTGGTGTGCTTCCTTTTGAAGAACATATAGAACATTAATTAAATCAGCAATGAACCAGAGAAAAGATTGGGGTATGAATTAAACTCTTCGGTCCTTTCATGGAACTTATTATTTTGAGTACCTATTTCCTCTCTTTTCCTGCCAGCTCTCACTGGTTCTAACTCTAACTGCTCACTTGATTTTGAAGTTGTTGACATAAATTTCCTCAGAGATATACCTAAGACAACATTCAGTTTCGATATTTTAGTTAGCGAGTTGGTGTTTAGGATAACTGATGAAGTCTAGAATTCACCCAGAATCACCAGGTATATGGCTGTCAGGCAATGCGGGAGGCCCCCCCAGGCTGAGATACAATTAAACTGAACGTTACCTTCCTTCTGTACCAGGAGATCCTGAGTAGACCCAGCCTAGAGATCATGTGATGCCAGGAAAATACGATGCAGAATAGCAACACAACCTTGTTAGGATATAATTAATTTAGTTTCATATAGCCTAATATCCTAACTTTAAATGGGAATATTAACAACAATGCAATATATGCTCGATTACTTACATTTACTCCTCCATTTGCAGGAGAAGAAAGCTATGTACAGAAGCACAATATGTTCAAACTTATTTTTTTATTTAAAATGTTTATTTACTATCAATGCACTGCTAATTTCTTGCAGTATTTCCTTCTGTAATTAAACTAATATGTTGAATAAAGTGTAGGCTGCAGTAATAATTTTATATATGCTTTAATTAGATAATTCTTCATGCATTTATTGCTGACCTCGATATATCTCTTCTACTTTAAGTGCATTTTCTTATTTGCTTCGCTTATTTAAATTTAATAAATTAAGACTTCAGCTCACCTTTCCATACCCCGACAATAATAGTTTAAGCCACATGATGTAGCCTTTTTATGTTAATAAATTATCTGCTATATGGTGACATAAGTATTGTGCCAAGAAAAGCTTTGCTAGTGTGTGTATACATTGTTTGTGCATGCATGTACTTATAGGGGTCTAATTTACCCCAAATCATTAAAGTCAGTGGTATACTGTGCAGATCAATTCACCCAATAACAAAGTGTATTTGCAGGAAGCAGCATAATATATATGTTAAGGTTTTATGTGTACAATAGCTACAATATCTTCCAGGCAATTCCAATTTAATTTATGCCTGAGTTCTCCAAGGCCTCAAAACTCAGAATTCACATTTATCAACACATCAGCCTCAAATAGTTTTTTGAACATCATCCAGTTGTATTACTATGCTAAAAGATTAAAAAATAATGTAGCAGAATTAGACCATAATCAGAAGAAAACACTCAGCTGAATGCAGGCTGCTGAAATAACTTTTGCAAGACCACGTGCAGTAACTGTTACCAAGGACAACGGGTCTTTCATGGTTTTTCCAATAATTGTCATCAAACTCCAGGAGGGAAGTTCTTTGCTTTAAAAAAAGCTGATTTTAAAATGTAATTCATGCTGTTTTAAACATGACAGCCCATGAAATTAACCAGTTTTATCTTACTTAACATTGCCTTAGCAACTTTTCCAATTGTCTGCGTTGACCTGAAAACATGTATGTACTTCAGAATACAAGAAAAACACACGCCTTCTTTTTAGAGAATTATCCCACATGTTACCAGGGTTTGGCATTAACTTCTTCCTCCTGCTGAGTGCTTGTCAGAAGTTCTGATGGCGGCAGGCTGGACGTTACTGGAGCCCAGAGCCGGTGGGCGAGGACGGGCAGGAGGGCTCAGGTGGGAGTGAGGACTAAGGAGGGGAAAGAAAGCTTAAATCTAGAATTAAATGACCTGACATTTTTCTACCAAGTGCTCACTAGAAACTAGACATAATTTTAAATTTGGAGGATATTTTGGAATACAAAGATCCCATGTTTTCCATTCTAGACAGTTGTGTATTTAACAAACAATGACAGTACAATTTCTTAGTTCACGCTCCTATCACAAAATGCCAGAGACTGGGTGACTTAAGCATCATAAATGTGTTTCTCACAGTTCCGGAGGCTGGAAGTCCAATATCAAGGTGCCAACAGGCCCGGTGGCTGGCAATTGGCCCCTTAGTGGCTCACAGACAGCCGGCTTGTCCTTGTGTCCTCACTTGGCGGTTTGCAGAGAGAGAGAGAGAGAGGGAGGGAGCTTATGTTTGCCCTTCTATAAGAGCACTAGTCCCGTTCACAAGGCCTCCACCCTGATGACCTAATTACCTTCTAATGGCCCAACCCCCTATTGTCATCACAATGGAGGTTAAAATCTAATGTATGAATTTTTAGCAGACACAAACATTGAGTTTGTAGCATATGCAAAAATAAATGAAAAGAGCTATGCAGACAGCGTGATGTGCCTAGGTCTGACTGGGCTGGATTGTACCTTACGAGTTCTTCTGATGTAGGTAGATAGCAAAGGAAGGATGATACAAATGTGAATGTGAAAGGCAGATACAGACCCGTCTGTGAGAAGAAATGAATGTTATGGAAATAACAACTCAACTCCTAACCTGTTTGATCTTTTTACCAAAGCCCTCCACATTCTCAAATTAATTGTGTTTTCCAAATATGAGGCAGGCTTTGTAATTTGTGAATGTATCAATATACCAAACTATCCAATAACTTGGAAATAAATTTTAGTTCTATGCTGTAGTTATATTAATATTATATTTTAATAAATCAAGAAAATTATTGATTACAAGACACATTGGGAAGCACTAAAATATTGATATATATGTATATATTTGTACAAATATATACATATATATGTGTATATTTGCAAGATTGTAAAATGGATTCACATTCAGTGATAGTAAATGGTGAACAAATGTCTATGTTAGACTCTATATTTAATTACTCTAAATTAAAGCATCTAAAGGTTCATATCTGAATAAGGCTTTATAAGTACCTCATGATGTGGCAGGTATGGGCATTATTATCTGCTCGTAGAGAGAAAACCTGAGAGTCATTCAGTCCACAAGTATTTATTAGGATGCAACAGGTGCCAAGTTGAATGCCCCATCTTCCAGCTGCAACCGAGAACAAAGGAGACACTGTATCTCCTTGTGTATACACAGAGTTTTGAACTGGCTAAACCCACAAACATTTTTAGTGTCAGACATCAAGATACCCAACCATCCTAGCCCAGCAATATGTTACCAAATTAGCCTACTGAAAAGTATAACAATTAAAAATATTAATTCAGGGGTAAAATGTACTGCAGAGATAAATGAAATAACCTAAGTATTTCTCTTATCTTTTTAAAAATATGTAATAATGGTTTCCAACATACCAGTTTCATTCTTAAACCTTTTCTCTGACCATAGGAGCTGATGCTGTGGAAGCTCAGTGTAAAAGATTTGAAGTGAGAGCGAGTGAAGACGGCAGGGTGCTGTTTTCTGCAGACGAAGATGAGATTACCATCGGTGCTGGGAAGCTGAAAGTTACAGGTACTGAGGATCGAGGTCTTGGAACGCTATTTACCTCTTGGAAGAATTGCAACTGGAGAAAAAAGCTACTTTATAAAATATGTGCCCCCCCCCACATCTAAAATTGAGTCTTGCATTCTATCATGATGTCACAACATTTGATTATCCAACCATCTTCAAAGAGAAGGTCCCGGTTGTAGATGCTGAAATGCATGTGAACATTAGCCTTTCTGTATTAGCATAGGTGTGAGTCTCGGGGAGAGGTGGGGCAGGAAAGTAGGTAAGAATGGTGGAATATAAAGTGTAGGCCAGACACTAAGTAAAGCTATCTAAAGGTGACCAACAAATAAAATTTAGAGATACTATTTAAAAGATAGGCAAAAGAAAACTAAAATGTAAATATCGACTCTAAAATGAAGTAGGGGGAAAGATTATAAGTATACTAAATTTTTGTTCTTTAGGACTTATACTTATCTTCAAAATATATAAATCAAGAAAAAGTGCTAATCAACTAGTATTTAGAAGTCATTAAAGTCATTACTCTAATATCAGGTTCAATCAACAACTGAAATAAAAAAGCAAGAACAAAAACAGAACAAAGTTAAAGGCATGATTGGGAGTGAGGAAGAATTTTATAAAGACAATTGCAAGCACAATTTCTATTGAATTATTTGATTCACAACAGTAATACATGTTTTAATGAAATTTTTTTTTGAATTTTTTTCTTTTTTATTTTTTTAAAATTTTATTTAGTTATTTTTCAAGTACAGTTTTTTGTCTATTTTTCCCATCCCAGCCTCCCCCGCCCCTTGCTCCCCACCTCCCTCCCTTTTCCACCCCCCTTAGTTCTCGTCCCTGTGTCCTTCCTATTTGTTCCTCCAAATCCCTCCCCCTTTTTCCCCTTAACTTCCCTTCCTTCTCCCCTCTGGTCACTATCCCCTTGTTCTCTATTTCAGTGTCTTTGTTTTTTTTTTTTTTTCTGCTTGCTTGTTTGTTTTGTTGTTTAGCTTCCTGTTAAAGGTGAGATCATATGGTATTTGTCTTTCAGCACCTGGCCTATTTCAAACAGCCAAAAAGGCCTACACTATTTTAAAAAGAGAAAAGATGAAGTATGCTTGACTTAGTACCCCCCACAGCTGAGTTTGGAAACAGCCCTTGGAAGATGCCTCATATCTAGTTCGGTCCAACTGACTCCTCCAGGTCACGCGAGAAGAGTTAGCAAGGTGGTTGGCCTCCGCTCTCCATGAATCCTACCTCCACTTCAAAACAGACTTTAAGTCAATTCTCTTTGCCTACAATTTTCTTTCCTTCATCTTGTTGATAACGATACATTTAGTGTTCAATTATATCAGTGCGTGTGTGCACATCTGCATACCTATGCGCTCATGTGTATGTATAGAATGGTTTCCACACATAATGAAGGAAGACATTGTAAAAGTTAGCTCTTTATTCTTATTAATAAAGATAAAATTAATATTGCCCATGTTCCAGACGTGAGTGCCTGAGTGGGTTTCAGAACCGATGCGCTATTAAATAGCCATGACATTGAATAAGGGTTGTTGGGTGGGGACCCCCATCAGGCATCCCTGGGCTGGGTCACAGACCACCACCACCACCCCCACTGACCGCCCTGTCTTCCTACCTTATGTAGGAGTGTCCTGCTGCACAGCTGGAGCCTGTGACATCAGGTTGGTGTTTGGGGGTAGTCACCATGGCTACTGATGTGCCTCATTTCTTTTATTTTTCTTAAAACTCCTTGGAAAGGTCAGGAAAGAAGGCATCATGAGAGGCAAAAATTTACCAGATTGACCTTTCTAAATCCTGAGATTGGGGGAACAAAAAAAGCATGAGGATTATAGTTGTCATAGAACACAGACAAATCAGAAAGGATATTGACTTCAGAGCCCTCTGTGCTAACTTTTGAGTTGCTGGTTGGTGGAAAGGTGGGGGATGTGGGTGGAAATGCACTCAGGAGGACTGGGCAGGTATGATTCCAATATTTAAGCATCTTTGAACCTTGGTAATATCTAACAGTTATCAGCTTTTGCTACCAGCGTAATCCTGAGATAGCATTTATCACACCCTAGGACAAGGGTGTCAAACTCATTTTCACTGGGGGCCACATCAGCCTCGCGGTTGCCTTCAAAGGGCCGAAATAATTTCAGGACTGTATAAATGTAACTAATCTTTAACTGTTAAGGAGTTGAAATTACATTCGGCCTGTTGAAGGCAACCGCGAGGCTGATGTGGCCCCCGTGAAAATGAGTTTGACGCCCTGATCTAGTATATGATGCAATTATGCCCCAATTGTTTTATCAATATTCAGATATTCTCATGGGGTACTTTGTATCCATAAGTAAAGGAAAGTTTTAGAGCTCTTGACAGCATTTAGCTGTCACCATGGAATTATAGCTTTCTCTGGTCTTCATAGTACCTTGACTTAACAGCAATTGTGATGAAGTGCTGTCTTCACAAAGTTAGACACATTAAGTAGTTTTGTTTTTGTTTTTTGTTTTTAATTTGAGTTGGGTGGGTACTGAACTTTTTCTTGGCATCCTGGCTGCTAATTTGGGCTATTAAGTCAGAGGAGACTGTACACCCTAGAAAATCTGTTTTTCTACTTTTCAATTAACTGTCTTAAGGCAGTCATCTCTGCTAACTTGTTCATTTTTCCCTCTCTCTCCCCCCTTTGTATATGTGAATGTGTGTGTGATATATGCATGGCAAATATGTATACATGTATGTCAAAATGGATGAATACATTGAATCTCACTCTGGCTCTCTTTTTCCCTTTCTCTCTCTATTCAAAAAATACATATAACTTTGAGATAATTCTTCATGCATTCTTGATTGATCTATACTTTCCAATGAACTCAGAAAAATCAATGTTTTGCAATAAATATATGTATCCTACAATTCCAGAAGATCCAAAAGAATAAAATAATATGATTTTGAGGCCATAATTGCTGAATTCAAGCATATTTTTGTAAGGGGTTGAAGCATAGCACTTAGGACAGAAGAATGAGAGTGACCGTGACAGGTAACCCTGGCTTCAACCTGTGTCCCTATACAAGTGGTATCACATTGTTAACAAATGCATGCCAAGTCAGAGAACATTGTCACAGATTGGGACCCCGCCCCCCAGGATCCCATCACATTCCTGTTCCTCATAGATGCAAGCACGCACCCATACACACGCACCCTCAAAACCCTGCTAGGCCCTTCCTCCGTTACCAGAATGTTGCCTATTAACTTCCTAGTAGCTCTGTTCCTTCCCGCGAGACTTCTAAAATAAAGAAAAACAAAACTATCAAAGGCAAATATAATTTAGAATTTTCCATGCTCAGAGGAGAAAATCGGGCATAACATACCATGCAGCTTAGAAGAACGGGGCTTGATCAGTAACCTGCTTGCACTTTAAAGTGGCGCTTGCAGCGGCTGACACCCACGCTGCTGAGAAGCATTGATCCCAGGGCGCTTCATGTATTCATAATTAGCTAGCTGTGCTGACAAGACTTCAAAGTGGCCTGGGACAAGAGATCTGTGTGAGATTTAGTCTCGAATTTCAAATTCATGACACCCATTTTTTTTCTATCTAAGGAATATTCATAGGAATTAAAACAGATTCTTTCTAGCTTTGGCCTCTACGAACAATGGTCTTTAGCTCTCCTTTTTCAGGATGACAGAGTGGAGACATGTATGTGATGTGTGTCTGCACTCCTGGGGCAAAATCACTTCTGACTGAAATTATTATTGACTGGGCGTCACTCAGGATACTTAACATGTACCCTTTCTAGAACGTAGTGGGACTTTACCAGATACGATTGAATACCCCTAGTGTGCGGAAGGATAGAAGCAGGACAGCAGGTGGTTACCAGCACCCCGTCTCCCACCACCGTGATGAGCAGTGGCGTGCTTGAACTCTGTAACTCTTTACTGTTGATATTACATGACTTGCTCATTTGTTTACTTAAATCTTCATTGAATATACTTATTTGACCCTACCATGCCCCTCTCTGTACTGTAGGAGATATGGGAGGTTTAGCACATATACTTGCAAACTTTATTTGAATTTTGTATCTTCTAATACTGGCCAATGATACGACTTAAAGATATCTTTTGAGACTGAGTAAACAAAGATAGAAACCTGTACACTCAGAAAACTTGAATTTAGTGCCTTCGATCAGATCAGTCAACTGAAATTTGCACTTTCATTTGTACCTTAAGTAATATATTCACTTAGAAAATAAAGTGCACATGTAAGTCATTTGACCTGATATAGTGACAGACTTTAGCCCTCCCTGTAGAACAGCTTAACTTTAAATTAAAAGCTGTTAGTTAGACTTAAACCTCTCCTTTTCTACCTTTGACAAAAAAGGGGGAAAGAGCTAAGTGTATGAGGAGAAAGAATATATCTGGTTTTTGAGGCATTAGAAATTAAAACGGGCAATCAGAAAGAATAATGAATCCCAGCATGCATCCACCCGTGCCCTTGCGTGTGCTTGAAAACCAGATGCATCACTCCCGTGTCACTGTTCTCACTGAGTGAGCGGAAAGAGAGACAAGTTCTAATGCTTGTTTGACAACAAAAGAAAGGATTTTCTGAAGAGCTGTCTTTTAAATTAAACACCATGTTTCTGGGTTTAAATCAATATTTTCTGGCTTTTTTTTTTATTAGTCTTCCACATCCTTGTTCTTGTCTGTTAAATTGGCACGCTGTGAACTGGTCAGCTTTGGCATCAAGTTTCTTGTTATGTAGCACCATTGTTCCTCCCACCTGTCCAAATGCCAAGAATGCCCGCAGTAGCGCTCGGCCAGCCAGCGAATGCAGCTCCTTGGCCCCAGTGCCACTTGGAGAAATGTGAATAGATCAGGTGCTGAGGAAAGGACTGTGCAATCATGAATTTCCTCTAGGATGGCATTTCAAGTTCATAGACCAGAGTAAATCACTCCGCTCTCTCAACTAGTTTTTTAGTCGCTTTTCAAACTTACCGAGGATAAAGATTTTGGAGATACTGAAG